GAGGCGCTGTCAAGCATCTCAAAAGATGAATTTAGACAATGTTTTGAAAAATGGAATAAAAGACTAGACAAGTGTATTAGTGTAAGTGGAGAGTACTTTGAAGGGGATTGAAGGTTTGTGCTTAAAATTTGAATAAATAAGTTTAAAAAAAATAAGTTCGGTTTCTTTTGGGTACCCCCTCGTATAGCCGTAGAACGGACATGGATCTACAATAAACATATCACGTGATCGCTATCCAGCCAGTCTATTGGCGCGTCGGTCGGATATACACAAAACACAGCTTCCTCTATTGTTGCGTGTTGGCCATGTTTACAGAGCTGTTGCCTGGCAACGCGTTGATCAAATCCGTTACAGCAGTGGTTCTCAAACTTTTTACCTGTGAGCCCCCCCTGACAAGAGAAAATACTCTCAGGCCGCCCGCCTGTTTTTTTATCAAAATAGAAGTCGCGGCATGTTTGACGTTTTATTCAGTTTATTTTGTTTTTCTACATACTATTTAGCAGATTTTGTACTCAAGATTAAAGTATCACAATATTAGGCCTACAATAGAAATTAGTTTTAACACTTGCAATTAACCAAAATATGTATTGAAATGAAACGATATTTAACTAACAAGTATTTAATTTTTTTTCTGTGAAGAAAATCAAACATTTAAATGTCAAACTTCAGTGTGATGGATGGGCCTGCTTTTGAGAACAAAGTTTATCAAAATGTGGTGTAATATCAGAAATGGCCACTCTAACTTCTTTAGCAATATTCAGCCTTGAACGATACTTTGACTTTATAGCTACCAAAGCAGAAAGGCCTGTCTCGCATAAGTAAGTTGTTGCAAAAGGAATCAGGATATTCAGTGCCTTTTCGCTCAAAGTTGGGAATTCCTTGCCAATATGTATCCAGAACTCCAACAAAGACAATTCCTTAAATTTACTTTTTAATGAAGTATCGCTAGTGAGATCGATGAGTTCTTGCTCATTTACCTTCAGAGATGATGGCCCAGGAGCATTTTCGAATGGATTTTTAATCCAATTAATTTTATCAAAATCATCGCAAAAGTATTTTTCGAGGTGAACTCTCAACATTATGAGATGATCAAGTAGGCAGCTTTTTATGTCCATTGGAAGCACTGGATTATCAGTGTCTTGTGCCATTTACACCAAAGTAGGGAACATACTGTTTCTCCAGAGCTCTAATTTTCTCATTAATGCCTTCACTTTGTCATGCCAAGAAAGTACAGTTGCCTCATTCTCTTGAAGTGAAGTGCTGAGGATATTTAGTTTCTCAAATATACCTGTGAGGTTAGCCATTTTCAATAAAAAATCCTTCTTGTTGAAACTGTCGGCCAGTGAGTGATTTTCCCCATTTAAAAAACAGAACACCTCATGCCTCAGCTTAAACGTTCTCTTTAATACCTTGCCTCTTGAAAGCCATCGAGGATCACTAAAAACAACAGAGCAGTGTGTTCGGCACCCATTTCCTCACACAGCATTTTGAAAAGTCTAGACTTCAGAGGATTTCAGAGGATGCGGCTGCTGCCGAACTATCAGCGCTGTCTCTGGCATACGCGTTTTATAATTGCCGGTAAAGAGAATAATTATTAGTTATTTTGAAATTCATGATAATTAAAGCCTGTACTCATCAAAAGTTTTTCTATGTGTATTTTTACTTTTTGTTACTTTTCTAATTGATTTAGGGCAGTTTTAATTTTTATCTGAAGGAAAGGATGCTGCGCCCCCCTTTCAAGCCCTTCGTACCCCCCCCCCCGGGGTCGCGCCCCACAGTTTGAGAACCACTGCGTTACAGCATGTTTCGAACTAGTCTGTCATTGTCGGCGCTTTCTTGTATGCACCTGTGCTACTAAATTATACTGTTTTATGTAAAATATCTTGGAGGTTGTGCCATCATCAGGTGCTGACAGATCGTTAAATCATTGTTAGGAAGTTACTAGATTGTACTTTCAGCATTGAACACACAAGACACTTCTTCCAAAAAGTTTTTACCCAAGGTATGACTTTCCCTCAGAGTTGTTTTAGGTGGACATTATTACAGTTAGAGGTGTATATGCAGTTCTTTGTTACAAGTACATGTATGTTTTCTTAGACTATGAATTTAATCAAATTAAATCGTCTTATTAAAAATGAATTTACGAAAAGTTAGGTTCTAGATAATGGGGTCTGACAAAATGTTACTGAGACATGTATATGAAAAACCCTTCACAGTCAGATTTCCTGACAGGAGCGAATGGGAAGACGGGTTTCGGCCTGATAGAAAAGGGGGACTGATCTCGTATACAGATGGTTCCAAGATAAATAAGGGCACTGGAGCTGGTGTGTTCTGCTATGGCACAAGGCGGAAACTTAGTTTCTGCCTTGGGCAGTACATGACAGTATTCTAGGCAGAAGTATATGCCATTATGGCATGTATTATGAAGAATCTAGATAGGAACTACAGCAATAGAAACATCTACATTCTGACAGCCAAGCTGCACTTAAAGCGCTTGACAAACACCAGATCAACTCAAAATTGGTCTGGGATTGTCACCAAACCCTCATGGAACTGGCCAAACATAACAGGGTACAACTGATATGGGTACCGGGGCATGAGGGTATTGCTGGAAACGAAACAGCAGACCAGTTGGCTAAGACTGGAGCTGAACATCCGTTCATAGGACCTGAACCAGCCCGTGGCATCTCTACAGGAGTTGCCAGAAAGGCAATCAGGGACTGGACAAATATGAAGCACAAGAAATACTGGGATCCTTGACTGGACTCAGGCAAGCAAAGGGACTCATATGAGGACCCTCTGCTAAAAGACCAAAGGAACTGTTGAAGCTAAACAGGAACCAGCTACGATGGGTGGCGGGACTACTTACAGGACACTGTCACCTTAAAGAACACCTCTTAAACTGGGACTAAGTAATAGTCCCACATGTGAGAGGTGTCAAGAAGAAAATAAAACAGCCACACATATCCTGTGTGAATGTGAGGCCTTAGCTTGTTTAAGATTGCGCCACTTGGTTCAATATTTTATGGAACCAAGTGACTATTTCGACATCCCCACATACAAAATCCTGCACTTCTTTCAAAGTGCAGGATTGCTGAGGGGATAATCAAAAGGGGAAGCACAATAGATCACTGTGGTCGTGGTGCAAGGGCCAAGAGGGCCCACCCCTCATACATTCATAGGTTCTAGATCATACTGTTGCGGTATTTTTAGTTTCCAGACAATTTTTATGTGGTAAAAATTCCCAGGATGTTATAAAACTTTAAGGTTCATTGCTATTCCACATTCCCCCCCCCCACAGTGGTCCCTATCCTGAACCAGATTAATCCAGTCTACAACATCCAGTCCTGTTTCTTTAACATCCATTTTAATATTACCCTCCCATCTACACCTAGGTGTTCCAATTTTCTCCCACCATCAGATTTTCCTCCCAAAACTTTGTATGAGTTCCTTTCCAGTCCTGTGCATACTACAGGAGCTGGGATAGCTCAATTGGTTTAGCGACAGGCTACAGGCTGGACAACCAGGGTTCAATTCCTGACAGGGGTAAGAGTCTTCTCTGCACTCCAAACAGTCAAGACCGGCTCTGGGGCCAATTCAGTCTCCTGTGAAATGGATACCGGATGTGAAGTGGCCATGGTATGAAGCTGACCACTCCAATCCATCTATTGCCCAGGTCAAGAATGGTGGAGCTGTACTTCCACTCCCCCATGCATCTTCTGGGCTTGGTTCTTAATTAATTACGTACAGGTACAACTTTACCTTCTCTTTCCTTTTTCCTGTGGCGCTACAGCCCCAATTTGGGCCTAGGCCTACCTCCATGAAACTCTCTATTTCACTTTGGTTTACTAGATCTTACACATTCGGTAGGACTCCTTGGGTGAGTGATCAGCTCGTCGCAAGGCCTCTACCTGTAGACAAACACAGAAAAACGCACACAAACATCCATGCCCTGAGTGGGATTCGAACCCACGATCCCGGCTTCCGAGCGAGTGAAGACGGTGCATGCCTTAGACCGCTCGGCTACTGTGACCGGCACCTTCTCTTTACCCCTGCATATTACATTCTTCAGTTATCTCATCTTCCTTTATTTTATCATCAGTGAAGCGTACAAATTATGAAGCTCTTCAGTATGCTGTTTTCTCCACATTCCTTTTATTTCCTCCTCCTTAAGTCTAAATATTCTTGCCAGTTCCCTGTTTATGGGGGCAAATAATATGTTTTCAGGTGGACATGGCCACCAGGATATCCATGGCAGTCAAGGCACTGTTTAAGAAGTACCCCATGGCTTCTAATGCAGTGGTGTATGGAACACTTATAACAGGGGCAGAGTTCACGCAGCAAACTATGACAAAGAAGATTTTGGTTAGTTACAAGCTATGTCTCTTCCACACACAGCATGTATGAACACATATACATATTCCATCATATCAAACTAATCATGACTCATCAAGTGGAAAGGAAAAAGCAGATCATTCACCACTGACAAGTTCTGGGAAGAATCGGTATCTTTGTTTATTCAAATGTGTGAACTTCTATAGGGACAGTAGTAGGAATTTTAAATAATTATACAATACGGGATCTGTTTCAGCACACACTTCCCACTAGCACAGATTCATACTGCATTTAATTTGTCTGATATGGTATAATATCGTACCATTATAATAATTGCTATTTTTAACGCATACAAAATGTTTCATGCAAACTTTGTAGCTAAAATACATTTACAATTTATATTCATACAAAAATATTCTATTGCTGTCTTTGAGGACTAACAGAAGTTCACCTCTTTTGAGGCATACAGTGCCATGCAATGCATGCAATGCAATATACAGTGTGTCCACAAAGTCCTTTCGGGGTTTTGAAAAATTGTGGCTAACTCAATTTGTTTGCATGCCACAATTTTTCAAAATCCTGACAGGACTTCATGTACAATGATACAATAATTTCTGTATTATCATCCACAAAGACTGATGTATGAAACATAAAATAAATTATACATCATCATCATCAGTAATCTGTCAAGACGACAGGTCCACAGTCTCTTTCAAAACAATTCCTCCACTTAATGCGATCTAGAGCTTTCTCCTTCAAATGACAGTATCCTCTTCTGTCCCCAAGGTCATCCAGCATCTTCTTACGTCTTCTTCCTCGTCGTCTTGTCACTTCTATCCGCCCATCTATCT